GGGGCTGTAAGACTAATGAGCACAATTCATTAAATGACAAAAGTACATGGAGACGTATCACTGTCTTTTTGTGGATTTGTCAATTTTTTATTTGTTAATGCTTCAAAGCAGCTTGACATAGACTGTGTTGATTGACTCGCCTGTGTATTTGGTTTATAGTGTTTTTTTGCTGTACTTCGTCCTGTTTTTTTGTTTTTCTGTATGCAATGGATTCGGCTTAGCTCAGTCTCTTTAAGTTGTAAGCATCACAATAATATTATTATCTTCCATTCACTTTTTGTTATAGAGAAAGATGCCTTGTGTGCTAAACTCCCAAATGGCGGCTATCACCAGTGTGATCTATACCTTTTTTGCTCTGCTTGTTCCTTGTTCACTTGCTTCAGAAATTTGGGTGCTGAGGGGAAAAGAGATTTATTGTACAAAAAACCCAACTGGTCTAGTCTGTTATGGTATGTGAGGAAAAGCCTTCTCATTCCCTTCAGGTATTGGGGAGTATTATTAGTCTCCCTTGTCCTTTACTTTTACTGCCATGAACAGAGAAATTAAAAACCTGTTCAGATGTTTAGCACTGGTGAATTATTGAAACGATGCTCTGTTCCTCATTTATGTGGCATCATGGTGAAATCAGGCGCAATCGTCAAGATAATGAAATCGAAGAAATGTTGAACAATTTAAAAAAATCAAATTTCTGTTTTGGACTCAACACCTTTTGCTTTGATTTAAAAACATATTTCTGTATGGATTTTACTGGAAAATATTGATCAAATGCACAAAAAATTTAAATTTGCACTTTCCAAGAACACTTAAGCTTGTAAGCTGTCATACTTTGGCGGCCATTTTCTCGCTTATTTTATTTCTGACACCAGACACCCCTCTGCCTTTAATCGCGAATATCTTGACTTCTGTTCAATATATATATATATGTATATATATATATATATGGGCTGTTTTTTCTCATCAAAAGCAGTGTAGATGAACAGACTTTAATATGATACCAATAACTTCATATGCCAAAAAACTGATGAGCACCTGATCCCACCTTGTTGTGACATATTTTGTTTATATGAACAGGTAAATAATATGAAATTTGGATAGTTACAGACTGCTCTACTCAAAGTAAAAATAAAGACCCGGTGTATTGTTCAAAATATAACTTTTAAAAATCTCAGACTTTTTGTCAGCAGTTTCATGCTTTTGTGGAGCGTATTATGTTCTTGCCCATGTTCAGCTTTTGTTTGAGACATAAGTAAAGGACTGATGCTTCATAGATTTACATATGTAGATAAAAAGCACAAATCTTTTATGCAGGGACAAAATTTGACGATTTTATAGTTTTGATTTTGTTTTTCTTTTGTGTGTATGTAGGGATTGAGAGCAGGTTTGTCATACTCATGCTGCCAATAAGTAACTGTAAAGACTCAAAACTTATTTTACTTATTTTCTGTCTTCATTTACCTGTGTCGATAATTGTTCTCCCGCTTAGTCACGTTCATATTATGCTTTGGCTTATAACAATTTTCAATGCTCTTGATATTCTTTCATAATTTTTCAACTATTTTCTCTTAATTAAGCTAAAACTTGTGCATCCAACAGGATGTCAAAAGAATTGGCTAAAAGATCTTTCTCTGTTATGGATTGATTATTTTTTTATATCCATGGTGCACATGTTATAAACATCAAGAAATGCCTGATATGAAACATCAACAAATCCATTTTGGTTAAACAGCAAGAAATACTTGTTCATAGACAGAAAAGAATGCATAAATAGACATCAAGAAATAATATCGAGTTAACATCTTAACATTGGTGTCATTTTATGGTACTAATAAATGCTTGATTTAGTGGGTATGTTTACAAAGTTGTAATAAATTTATGAATATTGTTAGTTATCTTGCTTTGTTTCTAAATGATGTATTTCATGGTAGGCCCATTAAGATCTAAGATTTTGTAGGTGGGGGGGGGGGAATAAAATGTTAATATTTTTATTGCATATTTTTTTATATGAATTTGGAGCAGCAAGTTTTGGTGAACTTTCATTTTGCATGGGAGAGGAGTCAATTTTAATTCCTGGAGCTTGTCATCTGTATCGCAGAAGTTCATCTACAAAATAGAACAGAATGTAGATAGTAAGTAAAAAGCTGTCACCTCCTCACAGGTTGCTGTCTCGTATTTTTTCTAAAGACTTAAAGAAATGATCTAATAATTATGAAACTCAACCTGCACTAAACGAATAGTAGACATTGAAGGAATGTCAATGTCTTCCCATTGTTTTCAATTTTTGCAGTGGACTTCATCGCTTGATTTACATTTTGCTTTTGTTTATTTTGCATGATTTGGACAGGTGGGTCATGTCTCCAGTCTCTGTATCATACTTTATTC